AATCTCTCAGCGACTGACAATGTGTTAGCGCATCGTGCACGACGTATTTTCCGCATATGTGTGTATGGTTAGGATGTGGAGTTGCGTCGTTTTTATTGTTCCATTCATTATAAGTTGAAGTATTTAAAAAATATTTATGCGCTAATTCGAAGTATGAATTTATTATAATAATACCCATTAAATATACTATAATTATATTATACGCTCAATTATAGTAATGATTCCAAGTTAACTCACACATATAACTTCTATGACAATTATATGTATTTTTTTTCAATTATTAATATCTCACGTATAGCTGTAAGCATGTTTTAGTCACGCGTTTTATACAATGGTCGTTAGCTATTGTCAGTTGATTTCAGGAAAATGTTACGTAAATTAGAGTGTGAAAGTTGCTCGGATGTCGGAGGTGTCCCGAGACATCCTCTCTAGTTTCGGTTTGCGCTCGAATGGTATGTCTGAGAACCGTGGAGTGGATGTGTTGGTGTGCCTGTTTTGCCATTTTTTAAATATGGGGTGACTGGTTAGAACAGGTAGCTTACCTTTTGGTGTGCTTGTGTTTAATTATAAGTAGGTAGGGCCGGGCAGGTTGGCACAGTCTTTGGTCGCCAATCTTTGGTGGATTTTTCGAATTTAGTATCGCGGTCGCGGATAGGTCCCGAAACGAACATTTATGTAGGTATTGTTCGAGCACGCACGATCACTATGATCGATCCATCCGTACATTGGGATCAACTTGCGCGATTTATTTTCTTATTTCACCTTTAAATGTTATTTTTTTGGTTTGCGATTAGAAAGATTCGAGGTAGACGTAAGTTTCAGCGGGCATTGCGCTCGAAGAAAGAAGAGGCTAAAAGCTGAAGAGACCCGGCAAACTGCCACGAAGGGGGTCACAACAAATGATTTCTCATCCTCTGGAGCATTTAAGTGATTCCAAAGCATGAGAGATCATTCTCGTTACTACTTTATCACTATGCTCTTTTAGTATTTGTAGTTGTATTTTTGTTTCTTCTCCATCATCGTTCATCTTGGTTGGGCAAATCGCGGCTTTTCTTGTTAATGTTGCGAGAGATCGAGTTGAGTTAGAGTTGCGAAATAGCCTGTTTCTTGGTATTACAAGAAATTGATTACGATTTAAATTAGAGTTGCGAAGAAATGATAATCGTGTTTGCTTTAGGGTTACGAGTTATGATACCGCGATTGTCTTTTGCAATTTTGATTGTGAAAATTGTCCTAGAGTTTTACGTAGTAAAATTTATCTTGCTTTCTTTGTTTTAAATTAGATTGTAGAGTCATTGGTTTTAATTTATTTTAATGTTAGGATATTTAGAAATAGCTTTTGTATTCTTGATAATAATTTTTATTGAATTTAGTTTTAGAGTTTAGAGTTGGTGTAACGATATTATTTCATCGCGATTTTCAATTGCTTTTTAACTCTTGCTGTTGCGATATTGTTTCAATTGGTTCTTCTCTTTGTGTTGCGACAATTAATGACCGTGTTTCTCGAAATAGTGTTGCGTTTACAAAATGCCCAAATTCTTCCACTAGATTCATGGAAGGCTGTTTCTGCTCTTAAATGCACTTTATACAGCTACAAAAATTGCACAGATGTGATCATTCATTAGCAACGTCCAGCACGGTTGCACTTTCTGAGAATGAGTGCATAGATTAACATTATATTTATTATATAGTTATAACATTATATAGTTTTAAATATGACGAAGCACTCTTCGCGTTTGGTTTTGAAAATTTCCTATTTCATAATTAATACTAGTGAGTTAGTGTTGCGAAACAAGATACACATTGTTGCACGAGTTCATGTCGAATGTAGATTTAACCTTCTTGTTATTGTATTGAGTAGGAAATGTTTTTTAATAGCCTTTTTGGTTACGGTAGCACTGCTTTTTAGCCAATGGCCCTTCTGGCTTGCGATTTCTTTTTCAGTAGTCCTTTTGGCTACTGTTTTAAATTTTCTTTGTCAGTAGCCCATCTGGTTACTGTGTCAGGTTTTTTCTTCAGCATCTCTTACAACTACGTTTGTTACTAAAGATACTGCTAAAAGATATATATATATAAATCACATTTTCATAAATGTAAATATATTAAATTTATAATAAAATTCAGCATTCTAAAATCCGTAACGAAGTTATAGTTAGCAAAAAAAAAATTTTATATATATATATATATTTGCTAACTATAAATTTGTTACGGATTTTAGAATGCTGAATTTTATTATAAATTTAATGTATTTACATTTATGTAAAATGTAAGTGATTTCACGTACCTAAAGTAATCTAAATCGCAATATATTAAAATACATTAAAATACAAACTGAAATTTAAATTGAAAACAATTATGATGACTGTGAATCTTGGTGTATTTTACGGTTTAAAATATTTTACATATTAAAAAAAAAGGATGCGTTTTAATT